GGTCCCTCCCAACCCCGAACATTCTATGATTCGCTCCCAAAAAAAAGGTGAAATACTCACTTGAAGCCCTGCTGGTTCCACGCTTGGCCGTAGACGCCGTAAGCGGGGACTTGCCAACCGTTGGGCACGTACTGGCCGAGCTGGGCGTTGCCGTACCACTGGCCCCACTGCCCGTAGGCCGGCGGGTAGCCGATCTGGTTCTGCAAAGGGCCAAGAGGATTGAGCCCGCGGGGTTCTTCCGGCCGCTTAACGGGTTTCTCGCAAACGTTTAATTAAAGCGGAGGAGAAGCTCTGACCTGCTGGACCGGGCTGATCATGTCCGGCGTTTCCTTGCCCCAGTAGCACTTCACGACGTGCCCTTCGATGGTCGTCCCGTTGACGGAGACGATGGCGTGGGCGGCGCTCTCGTGAGAATTAAACCTGCCGAGGTAAACGAGCCGCAAGGGACGCTCGTGAGTCTCCCGTCCGTCGAGAGCCTGTGGCCCCGACAAAACGGAACGGCGCGGCAGCTTACCGTACGAAGGAGTAGCCTTTGTCTGGGAAGACTCGGATTTCCATGATCTGCCCGAAGGGAGAAAAGGTCTGGCGCATGAGCTGTTCTGCAAGTGGGAGGGAGAAAAACCAGAGCAGCGAAAATGAGGCAGCCACGTTCGTTCAGGGAAGGCAGTTCAACGCGGTTCGTTAAGTGCCGGTACCTGTGAGTCCCGAAGTGACGCCGCCGCAGTACACCGTGCAGTTGCTGGGGCTGGACTGATTGACCACGTCGTCGTACAACAGTTGTTTGGCGTTGGCTTAAAGAGATTTTTACAGAGCTTTTCAGCTGATCGGGGCGTTAGGTAGGAATTCTCATCGCGGCCGGCATGAGATGCTGAGCGCAAACCGCCAACGCCTATTAAGTAGGTCCGACAGAGCTTAATTTCAGAAGCCTTTTATCCCAACAGAAAAGGACTCAAAACTCCAACCCGAGGGTGCAGAAGCCGGAGGGATCCCCCCGCGGCGGCAACACGGGGGTTTGAAACCATTTGAGAGCGCCTCAGCCTTTTCATCTCCCACCCTCCCTCCTCCTGCAGCGCCTGGGGCTCGCCCCTTGCCCTTCTTCCCCGCAGGAGGTTTGCGAAGAATTGAGAACCTACATTCGTACGTGCTCTTCGGAGCTGGAGGTTTTCTGGTCGCCCAGTTGGTCCTGATTTGCCTTCCGCCCAGCCACTGGCCACCCATCTGCTGAATCGCGTTCTCTGCGTCCTGAGAGAAGAAAAAACCCTGGGTCGACACCTTTTTCCTTTCGCATGCCGGCAAAGAAAACCACCTTGCTCCAAAAGGAACTGGATTTAGAATCAGAGAACGGCCCAGGGACCTTCAAGATTATCTAATCCAACCTCCCTGCAGGGACACCTCTCATCTGGACCAGGTTGCTCAAGGCCTCATCAGTGAAAATTAAAATTAAAATCACGTAAACATGCAAACCAACAGCTTCTCTAACAAGGGGCATCCACAACTTCTCTGGACAATTTATTCCAGAGTCTTGCCACCCTCGGACTGAAGAATTTTTTTAGGGTGGGATGAGAACGACACGTTTGAGCAACAGTCGAGCGTCTCGACGACCAGAAAAGCCTCACCCCGTGGCACGAGGGCGAAGGGCAGAGAGCGGGACCGACGGAAGCGCTCACCCATTTGTTGAAGAAGGAAACGAAGCCGTATCCTTTCGATTTCCCCGTTGCCATGTCCTTAACCACGCGGGCGTCTCTAGAAAAGGAGAAACGAGAGGCGGCTCAGCGCCCTCGCCGAACCGCGTCTACGCGGAAAAACAGCTTTTCATTTTCATCTCTCGCCTTCGCTAACGTCAACTGTTTTATTGCCCCAGCGACACAGTCAAAGCAAAAGGCTTCTTTTTCTAAACAGAACTTTGCTAACGCTCTGCCAAGGTAGTAGCGAAAATTAAAACGTAAAATCGTGTAAAACATGCAAATCGATCGCTTCTCTAACAAACGTATGTACTTTTTACAGCAGCTGGCTCCCGCTTCGAAAAACGCTTTTACAGACTGTTAAAGACACAAAGCATGGTCAAAGCAGCTATTGAAAAGAATCACTTAAGGCACGGAGCTGGCTAACGTTAGCTGAATGGCTCTCTTGAACCATGCAATTTTTATAAACTCACTATTTGCCAACACATTCTACCTACTCATTCAAGATATTAAATAGAAAAGAAAAAACAAAAAAATGAAAAAAAAAAGATAGGAATTAAAAGGCATACGTCGCCTGTTAACTGAATTCTTTAATTTTCGCGGGTGAATTCGTTACCCCCTTTTTGGACTGTTGGGCAGCTGTAAATTTTGAGAGATTGACATGTTCAGAAATCATCGCAGAAAACGAAACACCGCGACATTTCCGCGTCTTAAAAAAATAAATAAACAAAAGAACTACACATCACACAGCATTTCAAACGGCATTTGCACGACAGCAATCATACAGGACTGATTGGAAACTACGAGATATATTTTTTAAAAACATTAAGAAAAAAGGAAAAAAAAAAAAGGAAATAAGAAAAACTACAACGTTTGTCCACTGGGAACTGTAGCTTGTAGTTAGCCATGGCAATTCTGTCCATTCTTCAGAGACACTCTGCAAAATAACCAGAGCCCTATTATTTGAGATTTTGAGTCACACAAAGAGAACCCAGCTACAAAGAGCTAAACCCCCACGGGCGGGAGAAAAACTGCGCGGCGGCGCTCCTCAGGCAATTTGCGGCTGGGTCGGCCCCGTTCTAGCGGGCAAGGCCACCCTCTCCTCCCCTCTTTCGCCCCCCGTCCCACACAGGCACGGAAAGAACACGAAATAAGGACAGAAAAACCGCTCGGGGAGGTCACAGGACGGCACTTAACGGCCACGTGAAACGAGAGGGTTCGGAGAAAAACGCGCGCGAGAGAGTGAGCGTCGCCGCAGGTTCGTTACGCTCGGGGATTCGTTTGTCTGAGTTTATTTTTTGTTATTATTTTATTTTTTTAAAGCCTTTAAGCGCTGCGTCGTTAGCCTAATTCCAGCATACGTTGGCCGGTAGCGCTGATGCCGTCGCTGGAGGGCCGGGGGTATCTTTTCCCCCAAGCCACGGCGGAAATGTGATTTCTTTCCCCTCCGTGAGACCTTTCCCTCCTTTTTTTATTTTCCCCCTTCCTGGGTTAGGTCAAGATTCGGGTCAGATGTTACAAATTGCCTGAGAAGAGCCGCTTTGATAAGCTTCGACGGGTTTGCTCTGAAGAGCCTAGAGAGGGAAAGGGGGGGAAAAACTCATCTCTACTTACCCTCAACCGAAAACTTTGAAAAATAAAGACTTGAGAACAAGTGAAAACATGCGGACAGCAAGCATCAAAGGAAACCACAAACAAAAGTGTGCTTTTTACAGGGATTAAAGAAAGAAAAAAGTCCAGATGCAAAGGATTACCAAAAGTTCTTAATCATGCAGTGGGTTCAACCTCGGTGTCATTTTTTTTTAAAAAAAAAAAAGCTCAAGTTTTGCACCAACAAAGACAATGTTTTAAAAAAAGAAAAGAAGAAAAGAAGAGAAAAGAAAAGAAAAGCAGGAAATATTCCATTAGAAGCACATTTCCAGAAACTGGTCCCTTACGAAGAACAGGTCAAGTCGAGTAACTTCAGCCAAGGCAGGAGCAGTACCTTGCCCAGGTTAAATTTAAACTAGAAACCCGAGGTCCCTTCGGCTTGATTTAACCCCTCGGTTTTGGAAGGAGACCTCGTTACGGGCATCTACTCCTTTCTGCAGGGCAGGGGTGAACAAATCCAGTTTCGTTTTGGAGCCAAACCGCAAGTTTTTTCGCCGTGCAGCCGCGGGCCGAGAGCCCCCAAAAACCGGGAGCACAAAGCAGGGCGGTGACCCAGCCCCGTCGCCGCACAAAGCTCCTCCAGAAACCCTGGGACGACGGGCGCGGCCCCGAAAACGGGGACCCCAGCCCCGCGTCGCTGTGATTTTATACTCCCCCAGCCATCATTTTGTCACTTTTTGCTCGGGAGGGGTTTTGCTGCAGGTTGGTTTGGTTTTTTTTTGGGGGGGAGAGTTTGTTAAAGGTGATCATCCGTGGAACCGTCACCTTTGAGGGTCAGCGCTGCATCAGTGACAGCGGTGCCACCGACGCGACCGGCCAGCCCTGAGTCCCTTCCGCGCTCGCTCCGGCCGTCCGGTTTGACACCCGGGACCCTCGTCCTGAACCAGAGAATAAACTCGACTCTCCCCAGGAGTCTGTCCCTCCCTGGATGATCACAGAAGGTGCAGTCAAGCATTGCAGTTTTCTGAAGCGAGTCACATTCAGAACGATTTTAATTTCGTTTAAAACCTGATCCTAAGAGGAAATCAAGCTGGCGTTAAAGGAGTAATACGCTGGACTCTGAGGGGGGAAAAAAAAAACAACGAAAAACAAACTTACTTCAATTAAATGCTTCACTACACAACACTCCAAAGCACTCTATGTTCTCTTACATCACCATCAAGAAACTTCAATGGCCAGTACAGACAACACTACAAGGAAAATTAAGGGTTTACTTTCGGAGGATGGAATGAACAAACGGCTCCTTACTCCTCTACACCCTGAATTCACCGAACCGGCAGGGGGGGGG